AAATTTTTAGCATTCACTTACCTTACTAGTAGTTAGTTCTCAATTGGGAAACAAACTTGTATACATTCTAAACAAATTATCCAAAATGGAATCATTTAAAAACGTACTTTTTGTGTTTGCTTAAAAAAAAATAAAGTGCTTTTATTTGGATCTGCTTATTTGGAGTAATTATCTACATGCTGTAAGACCTGTGGTTTTCGAGGTAAGAGACAGAATTTCATTCAGTACATTTAACTCCATACTATTGCAATGCCAGATCGTATTGAAGGATTATTCGGTAAAATATTGAACAGGAAGCGTCAAAAGAAGATGTAAGAAATAAACAATCACTGTACCAAAAAGAATGATGAACATTCAGCCATATCAAGAAGCTGCCTCTGATCAAGAACTGATGGTACTCAAGGGAGGTGTCCAAGCTGTGCTGCATTCAGTAACCAAAAACAAGGATCCAGGAATTGATGGAGTACAATGGAAATATTTCAAGCTGATGAAGCATTGGAAGCACTCACTAGTCTATGCCAAGAAATCTGGAAGACAACTACTTGGTCCACCAATTGGAAGAGATCTGTGTCTCCGTTTCCAAAGAAAGGAGTGAATGCAGAAATTATCGAACACTACAGTAGAACCCTGGTACTCCACCGCACCTGTACTCAGCATAATTGGATTTCCACACTAAATGTTGAGACGAGTTTTCATCAGAGCTCAAATAAGACATCAGAATCTGACCCAACACACATGGTTTTGTAAACAAAAGCAGTTTGTGTTTTGGTCACTCTGCCTCAGTTGGTGTTGTTGGTACATGTTGTTTAACCCTTTACAGCTGTGTTGCAAGCATTTTGCTATAATTTTCTTAGTTTTTTGTGGCTTTTTGTACTGTTTTTGATTAAAAACATGGGTCCTAAGAAAGAGTTTTTTTAAAAGAATCATCATGGTAAGGAACTTGTTAACTGTGTTATCGATACTGTTGATGATAATTTAATAAACCCTTTTAGAAAGCAGTTAAGGAAACGCCACCAGCAGACCACATTAGAGAGAGCTAGCCAGGTCCTCGTGAACACGGGCAAAGGAGGGAAAAAAAAACTCCTGAAAAGCAGCTACCGGTTGATTTTATGGAAGGGGATTCTCCTTCCAATGTCTGTCTGTCTGTCTCTCTCTCTCTCTCTCTCTCTCCATCCCTCCGCTCCACATCCATGTCCACAGATCTAGGTCCTCAGCAGTCTGAAGGTATCGGTCATACTGTAGTTGTTAAAAACGTTTTAATGTTATGTTTCTTGTTTAAAATGATAATAGTTAACTCTGAACTTATTTACTTTGAAATTTCTGTGTGATGCTTTGTGTAAAAAGGCAAGGTTAGAGTAAAAACTTGGTGGTCAAGAGCAGATTAGTCCGTTTTCAGTTACTTCTTATGGGAAAAATTGACTCAAAACTCGACTGCATCACGTCTCAGCACTCCTAGAATGGATCAGCGTCCAGGTCCAAGGGTCTACTGGATCATCAATATTAAAAATATCATATGCAAGTCAAAATTTGAAAACAAACAAGCACACACAAAAAAAACCAGTTGAAGCAACACATTGACAGTGAACTGCCAGAAATTCAGGCTGGATTCCAAAGATGATGTGGCACAAGGGATACTGTTACTGACATCTGTTGGATCTTAGCTGAAACTAGGGAATAGCAGATGTTTAATTGTGTTTTATTGACTATGTAAAAGCATTCTCCTATGTAAGTCGTAAGAAACTATGGATAACATTGAAGAAAAATAGCAATTCCAGAACACTTAATTGTGCTCATAAAGAACCTGCCCATGGACCAAGATCTATAGAGTTATTCAAATAGAACCAGAGGATACTGGGTGGTTTAAAATCCCCAGAAGTGTGTATCAGAGTTATATCCTATCATCATGCTTATTCAGTCTGTATACAGATTATCCAAGTAGCTGGACGATATGAAAAGAACTTGGCCTCAGGATTGAAGGAAGGCTTATTAACAACTTATAATATACACAACCTTGCCGGTTGAAACCAAAGTAGACTTTTGAAGTACTTGCTGATGAAAATCCAAGACAGCAGCTGTATTAGTCTGAGTAGACTAGGGAAACAAATCCAGGGAGACTCATAAGTGTACCAGAAAGAGCTTTATATACAAGAGCAATTGAATGTTGAGAAAACATCCCAGCTCAGTCCAGATCAAGTCTGTAAGTCCGATATTAGCCCATATGTCCGATACCAATCGATAAATTCCTTTGCAGACTCACGAAACACATGCAATGACGCCAAATGCAGGGAAATCACAGGCTAGTAGGTGGAAAGTCATCTAGATGCAGTGGCAGTAGAGGCATCTCAGGGCTGGCAGGGGTTTCCATGTGGCTCCTCCAGCTCCAGGGCTCTAATAGCTCTGTGTGCCTTGTCAGCAAGCAGGTCTCGCAGGGAGTGAACGTGTGTCCTCCCTCAAGCAAGCTACTTATCTCCTTAACGCCTCCAAATGAAGTCATCAAGCTGCAACCTGATTGACAGGCTGAACTCCACCCCTTCACTCTTAAGTCTCTAATTGATAACAGATTATGTAACTACCACAGCAGCCTTTAGTATGGACTACAGCTCGATGTACAGAAAACCAAAATATTATAACTGGACCAAAAGGCAATATTATGTTAAGCAAAGAAAAAAATTGAAGTTGTCACGGATTTCATAGTGGTTGGTTTCCTGGTCAGGCTCTTGGAAGCAGCAGTCCAGCAATCAAATGACACCCTGCATTGTGCCAGTCTTCTATTACAAGCTCTCTTCAAACTGATAAAACAGCAAAATGGTACTTTTCAGACCAGGGTTCACCTGACCCAAGCCAGGGTTATTCCCAACTGCTTCCGATACACATGAAAACGGTCCAGTGACTAAGGAGAGCTAGAGAAGCGTGAATGCATTTGATTGATGGTGCTGGTGAAGAATACTGAAAGTACCCCGGATGACAAACAAATCTGCCTTGGGAAGAGTGCATCTTGAATGCTGCTTCTAGTTCCTGGACAAGCTTTCATACTTGGTAAAGTAGAGGGTCAGCAAAAAAGAGGAAAATCCTCCAATGACAGGGATTGACCCAATGGCTACAAAATGGCCTAAAACATAGCTATTGTGTGGATGGCTCGGGCTGGGCAGTGTTTGGTACCGCGGTTCCTGTGAGTCGGAACTCCCTTCATGACACCTAGCAGCAGCAATGTATGCGTGGTGTTCGGACTTACCTGTGGCTTCGAGTATATTCTTCCCTTTTGGTCTGATAGGGTTAATGATTTTGAGAAGCAAGTACCTCGTGGTTTTAGGCCTGCCTGGTGTCTGGTTGAAAGGTGATGCCCGATGATGGGTTCAGTTCCAGGTTTGAAGGGTATAAGGATCAGATCAATAAGGATAGTCTTTTTTATTATTTTGAATTTTACAAGTTTTTTTCCTACTCTGTCTTGATTGTGATCCTGGTCAGAGTGGTCAGTAGTGTTGGCCGTGGAACCATCTAGGTCTTCGGATGTCAAGGTGGTGGAGGCAGAGGTTCACATGCTCTGTAGACCTTTGGACCAGTTGGTTCCATGCTCCTTTGATTTTTGTTCACTCTTCTTTGCTCTAGGCATTTAGACACCAATAATTGCATCTTAATTTTGCTATTAATCTTACAGCCCTGGTGACATGGTGGGCTCCATGTTAGGCTGTTAACCAGAATGTTAGCAGTTCGAACCCACCACCTGCTTTGAGGGGGGAAAATGAGGTGTTTTGCCCCCATTTAAAGATTTATAGCCTTGGAACCCGATGGGTAGTTCGACTCTGGCACATAAGGTTGCTCAGAGTCAGAATCAACTCAGTGGCAGTTAGTGTTTGTGTCTGTTTTGTTTGTTTGTATGCTTGTTTTAGAGTTCAGAAATTCAAATATTGGAAATCATTTCCTGGGTTTGATTGGAGGATCAACCTGTGATTGTCTGCTTTAGGTATGATGTTTGTTTAAAATTGTACTTGATTCTCAGACTCACGGCCATCAAGCCGACTCGGATGCATAGCGACTCTGTAGGACGGAGCAGAAGTGCTGTGAGATTCTAAGACTGTAACTCTGTGTGGGAGTAGAACTCTCTGTCTTTTTCCTAAGGAGCCGCTGGTGGCTTCAAATTGCTGACCTTGCGATTAGCTGCCCAGCACGTAATCACTATTCCACCAGGCGTATTTGATAAGCCACTTAGAATACCTCATATATTTGTTTTTTGAAGCTTAACCCTAAATGACTTTGTGGAAAATAAAGTCTTCTTCTTCTTCTGAAAATAAAGCTGTTCTTCTCCTAGTAAAGCCTATATTTTTCAGATTAATTATATGTGTCCAAAATCTGATTGTTGTTCTCTAGCACATGCCTGAACTCTAGATCTCATCTTAGAGCAAAAATTTAAATTAACTATAAATGAAACACCAGGCCCATTGACTTCAAGCCATTTTTAATTCATACCACCCCTGTCTCATAAAATAGAATTGCCTCATAGAGTTTACAGCTAGGAACTGTATGGCAGCAGACTGCTACATCTCATCTTCTTCAGAGTTGTTGGTGGATTTGAGTTGCCAACCTTTTGGGAAGGCTCTAAGCCCTTCACCGCTGCTCTACCAGGATTCCTTAACTTTAACATAAATTATTTTGAATTTGTAAAACGCCTCCTTCTCTGTGCTATGAAGATTCATGGGGAAAAAATATCCTTTTTTAAGCTAAAAGTGATATTGACTTTAAGAAATATTGCATTGGGAATTTCTTGACCTGATTTTTACACTCTGATTTTATATGCATAATTATATTTTCTATACTGTGATTTCCAATGGGATAATGACTTATCTTTACCTCAAGAGATCATGTAAAAATAGAATTTGGATGAAGGACCATTTGTTCCCCTTGGGATAAAATACTCTGTGAGTTATGACAATGGCATTACTAATTTGGGAAGAAATCTAAAAAAAGAACACTTTTTAAACTTTTGCATTGTTTTTTCTTTTAAGAGTAAAATTCCAGTTGGAATTAAAGCTGGGCATCCTAATAAGGTGAGTGGCTTTTTCTCTCTTGGACATTCGTTTTTGTTTTATATTGCTTTCGATCTTAAATATATATTCTGCTTTATATTATATTGCAGTACAACTGTAACTACTTAACAGTTGTTGCAGCAGAGAACTATAAGTTTAGTTTGACTTACAATCTCAAATCCCTAATTTTTGCAGCAGGTGGAGTAGCTTTACAGTTTTGATTTTCACATTTAAATTATATAATTTCTTTAGAATTATTTTGACTCTGCTTTTGGCACCTCTAAAAGAAGGATAAAGAGTAATCACAGCGTCAGATCAGCAGATGTTCGATCACCCAGGCACTTGTAGTTTTCTGTTTCCACTAGGCAGCCGGTCATTTTCATGAGTATGTTTTATAGCTCGTAAATAATTATCAGCATATTTTGAGCAGAGTAATTTCAAATGACACTCAAGGTTCTCATTCAAACTAAGCCGTTATTTCTTTATTCAAGACTACTGCTTCCCCTTCTGAATGTGCTCTGATTTACTTTCATGTATTTTTAGAGCAGTTTGGTCCTAGTTTTTCACGATTGTTCCTGTTTAGTCAAGAGTACTGATACGGTCTCTGCCTTCTTGTGCGTCCTCTCTCCGTTTCGCCGTGCTCTCTTCCCGGGGCCTCTATTTTTGTTTCAGATCTGCAGTACATACGGACAATAGCATCCCGGCAGCTGAAGCCTCCCTCCGAGTCTCTTCCCAATTCCTTTGTACTTTCTCCCCCCAGAGCTAACTACTTTTCTGAATTTGTTGTATGTGGTATCCACAACAACATAGAAATGGTTCTGTGTGAAATCTTAACATTTAAAACATGACATTGTATCTTTTCATTCTTCAGTTTAAAGGATTTTTTTAAGTTTGAATTTCACTCAACATTGTGCTTGGAGACTGTTAGATTTGTTAACATAGATAGATCTTGTTGCTTCATTTTAACAGCTTCATAGCATTTAACTGTATGACCTTATCACAGGTTTGTAATTCCTCTGCTAATGGACTCGCAGTTTCCAGTGTTTGCTAGTCCAGACGGTGCTGCACTAGCAGCTTTATCCCATGGGTCTTGTGCACGCGGACATGTAAGAGTTTCTTTAGGTGTCTATCTAGAATTGCTGGATCACAGGCTCATTTAAGTATCTCAATATTGTAATACCAAATAACTTAGTGAAGTAGGTGTGCCTCCTTTTGCTTTTTAATTGTTGTATTGAGGTATGGTCTCTGTAGGGGAATTGTTGGTTCAAAGGTTTAGGAATTTATAACTCTACATATATATTGTCAAATTACTTTCCCAAGAAATTTTTATCTCTCTTTTCAGCATTAACAGCACACTGGTAACTACTTGTTATAAATTTAATGTCTTTATTTAATGGGTAAAACTTTGTGCCACATTTTAGTTTGTATTTCTTACATATATAAAGGATTTTGATAATAGGATGTATCTATATTTAATATATATCATCATTGACAATTTGTATTTCTTACATATATAAAGGATTTTGATAATAGGATGTATCTATATTTAATATATATCATCATTGACAGATTGATTATCCTGACAGTGGAACATGAGACAAAGATAAAAATAGTAATAATTATTTTAAGCTTACTTATTAATGTTCTTGCAGTACTTGAAAATGGTGAATGATACCACAGACTTAGAAGATTGTGAGCAAGCTAATAAACTGGGAGCAATTAACAGCACACTTAGGTAATTTTTATTTTCATCATATTAAGAAAATAGTCTTATTTTGTGCATTTATATTAGAAATCTTGTTTTCTTATAATTATTTTTTTTAAACTTTTCTAATGATTCTGTTAAAACTTTTGCTATCATTGAATTTTCAACTAATTTTTGAAAGGAGGAAAATGTTTCTCTTCTGATGCATGGATAGACATGTAGGCTGAACAGGTGTGGGAGAGTGAATGGGAATATGCCCACGAATATATATAGATTTGACTGGATATTTGTGTAAGGTAGTCAAGAGGCGCCACAGACCGAATCAGTCGAATTTGAGCAAACAGGCTTTATTAGGGAGAAAAACCCAGCCTGGGTGAAGTTTCACAGTCCACAATGTCCGGGCTGGGGGTGTCATGCCCCAGGCTACAGGGGTGGTGCTTATATTGCCAGGGAACATGAGACTGGGCTGTTTTGAGTTCATATAAGGTAAAGTAGTCAGGGATTGGGAGATACAAGTATGTCCGGGTTTCTGGAATGTAAGGTGTCTTCCTGGTTCTGGGTGTATTTGTGCGGGTGCAGGGCGGCGAGCAGAGAACAAAGCAGGCACTGAGCCAAACGGGTTGTGCCGGGTGCAGAGCGGCAGGTCGAGAATAAAGCGGGCCATTAGCCAGCTCTGGTCAGCTCCGCAGGTGTGTGGGGGAGATTCAAGGCCACTTGCTGCTATTTGTTTTAGCTAGCTCTGGTCAGCTCCTCATGGGTGGGGGAGATGGAAGGTCACTTGCTGCTAGAAGCTGGCTTGGTATTGATCCGGCCATACAGTTTGTACATGTATATTTAGTATGTGATAGAGCATAGAAGGACAAAAGTATGGTTTTCATACTTTTCATACTTAGACATAACCAAATACTTTGAGGGAATGAATCATTGGGCCTGGGGGCTAAGGACCAAGGACCAAGGTCAATTGACATGAAAACATTTTATATCCTACTTTGGTGAGTAGTGACTGGGATCTTAAATGCCATCATGGACAGCCTGCTAAGGTTTCTCCCAATCTAGAGGAGCAAAAAATGATAAAAATATAAGACCTTTAGTATATAGTTTTATTAATATTAGTCTCCATGTCCCTGAGACTAGAACTACATAGTGCCCAGCTACCACTACTAACTGCACTGAAAGAGATTATATTAGAAGATCCTGGATAAAGTGGGAGAACAATGTATGAAACAAAACTCAAAATCATTAAAAAAATAATAATTATACCGGGCTTTCTGATCAGACAGAGATGGGTGGAACTCCTAAAAAGAATATGCTCACCATAGAATAATCAACCATTTGAGAATAAAAGGACAGCCTTTATCCAAGGACAAAGTTCAACAGAGCTAAAGAAAAAGTAGAAACAGGAAACACAGGGAGAGAGTGATGTTACATTGTGGGGGTTTCAGTCAATAACATGAAACAAAAAGTGGATTATTGAATGAAAAACTGATGTGCTCTGTTGACCTTTAACCAATTCACGGGTTAAAAAAAAACAGTTAAAAGAAAAGTCATTCTTTTTTATCCAAAATCCATAATAACTTTTAGGAGCCCTGGTGACATAGTGGGTACACGTTGAGCTGCTAACCACAAGGTCAGTAGTTCAAAACTACTAGCCAGCTCTGGGGGAGCAAGACAGGGCTTTCTTCTCCCTTGAAAAGTTACCGTCTTGGAAACGTACAGGGGCAGTTCTTCCCTGCCCTGTGGGGTCACCACGATTCGGAATTGACCCAGTGGCAGTGAATTTGTTTGTTTTGTTGGTATAATACCGTTGTTCCTTCTTGTCCTTGAATTTCTAGAATGTAGTAAATCTATGAAAATAATAAAATTTTATCACAGGCAAGTCTTTCCTATTCATAGATTCAGTCAGTTTTATGAATTTTTCCAGTGCCCACAGTAGCCTTTTTCTCCCCACCCCCAACAGTTTTATTGGCACATAATTTATGTATCGTATAATTCAATCATTCAGTGATATCAAGGAGACTTGTATAATCACCATCACATCAGTCTTAGAGTATCACCCACCCCACCCATGGTTAAATCTCCCTTAAAATGAGTTGTGCAATCACAATCAGTTCTAGTGCTCACCTCCCTCTTCCACCTTCATTATTTACTTCCAAAATCCCCTTTCCCTCCCACCCCTGCATTCCCTATAACTCCTTGTATCAGTTATTTTCTTCTTTTTTTTAAATCAGTATATTGGGGCTCATACAATTCATCACAATACATAGATCAATTGTGTAAAGCACATCTATACATTTGTTGCCCTCATTATTCCCAAAATTCGCTT